ACACTTGATGGACCAGTTACCCTGGAACAAGCAGAGCTGCAAAACAGGCTCCAGAAGCCGAAACCACTGAACCTTAAAACCAACACATTGCAACGCAGGGTTCAGAGGAAAGACAAATGTTCCATGTGGAGGTTGGAAACAAAAGAGAAAACAAAAGCTGGGATGCCAAGAAAAATATTTGAATGGCAATGCCAGTGTTTCTGCTTATGATAAGATAAGGTTTGAAATTTTATTCACAATATGCACATCACATCCAGAATCACTTAAGATACATTTGTTTTTATAATGACTTAATATTATACTTATGTACATGTATTTTGCTTTCTGCTATAGATAGTGTTTTGTCTTCTGGCTTCTAAAATATTACATTTAAACCATATGAAAAGGTAAAAACAACCTGGACTCAGAGCTCACAAAAATATGCTGATCACTTTTAAAGAGTGACAAACCAAAAAGGTTAGCGATGGACTGACTGCCATTATAAATTCACTTTAAAGTTTGTTCACACTGTGGAAAAAGAAAAGTACAATAATAATAAGATCATTTAAGTTATAAAATACTTTTTTTGCTCACACTACAGTATGTTACTCATAAATGTATTTTTCACAGATCTAATACATATTTTAATATGTATAAGTATCTGTAAGGATCATAGAAATAACATAGTGACTATCTTTGAGTTGCTGGAAATCCAAGCCACTTTTCGACTTCACATCTGGACAAAATGCGAGTAAATTCTGTAAATATTTTTACTCAGGACTTACCCAACTGCTCCGCAGGTCTGTCATCATATAGTTATATAGTAACGAGCCAATCGTTTTTTCTACAGATGTCTTTAAGAAGTCCGGTAGCTTTGCGCTCCTCTTGCGCTCTTAGTGAGCTCCGCGTGCGTAATGACACCACTGCGGCACATTACGCGCCAGTTTAAAGCACGAAGAAACTCCACCCGTGCATGTGCGTGTGTCTGGTTTCATTCAGGTGTGTTGGAAACATAGTGACACAGTGGAAAGTTATCACACGCCTGCCTTAGTTTCACCAGGATGGGTTCAGGAACGGTGGGACAGTTAAGCTTGGCCTTGTTTTGGCATTTGACTCGGTGGTAAATTTCACCAGGTTATGGAGAACAAAGGAGTAATGGAGTTTTTTTTTACCTCAAGGTGTTTAAATTTTTAATTCACCACAGGATCAAAATGATTCTCTCAGCACTGGATAAATCAAAAGCACAAGAAAATGGTTTAATCGGCAGTATAAGAGATATTTATTAAATTAAACCATTATCTCAGATTTAATCTAAAAAATTATTGTACTACAGAAACACAACGTACATCTTCTGCAAAACTGTATAAGTTTTAAGTGCACATAATCAATTACCCACAATAAAAGAATTGTCAAATCTTTAAACAATGTTTGTTGTACTGCTTTGTACAAAGAAATTGTGGCTAAAACATAAGAGAATGTGCTAAAATACTTGACAGTGAGTTAAAACTTGATGACTTAACATGGTGGGTTGGTTTGTTTGGGGCGCCCCTTGCTGGCCTCTGCCTGTTAGTTCATTCCCTCAGTCTGGTGGATATGTGATGTGTGGGGAGATTTAGAGTCCAAGTCTATATTCCTCGTTTGAGTCATAACTCAGTCTTATCTGAACAGACTGACATAACACACATATTGATATAGATGACAAAGAATCTGCAGAACTCACACGAGAACCATCATGTTTTAAATTTTTCTTTTAGTATCAATAGCTGTTTGTACATGGGAACACTGCAAACAAGAACTGCTAATAGCTAATACAGCTACTTGTAATGATACTAACTTGCTGATAACTTGCTGAAATGTAAATAAATATTACAAGAGCACGTTTCATGATTTTTACAGGTTCTTTTTTATTACATGCTGTTTTTTTTGGAGACCGGGTCTTCATGCTATTAAAAATCACCCTACGCCCTTTGCAAAATAAATTTGAGTGGGGTTTCAGTTGCTAGTCATTGCGAACACCCAGCTACAGTAAATCCAGTGGTGCAGTACAACAATCTGGGCACTGTATATATAGTATATTCAGTAGAGCCTCAGAGGAATCCTGTGCCTTTTAAAACAACCGTTGTCACACCTGTGCTTCAATCAACATGAATCTATGTACTGCTTATTAAAACAATCAGGTCCCAAGTATTTGCAATAAGTTGATGACAAAATATTATGATATGAAGGACCTAGTTATGTCACAATATTAAACCTTTCTCAAACACTGGTGGCAAACTGTGGTCCCAAAATAGAAGCTGTGACTGGGCCCTGGGTGGACTCCTAACTTTATTCCTCTCACTATGATGAGCCCAGTGCATTTATTTGGGGAATTTATAAAGTAAGTTTCACATTATATTCAAGAAACATACACAGGAGTTTTGCATTCTGCGCCTACGAACTTTTGTCACTGGGCTGCAGTGTAATCTTCCTATAGGCTGCCAGTATTGAAAGAAGCTGGTTATTTCCTAGTTGGTCAGTGGTACGTAAACGCACCTCCCCGTCAGTTGGAGTACCTTGGTCTCCGTCAATAATCGCCCCGGTGTAGGTTTGTTTGTCGGATTGTTTCGATACGTTACCCGGAGGAAGACCGACTGGGCCCGTCTGCCGTCCACACGGAGGCCCGGTGAGTCTCCAACCAGTGCGTTATTATCATATTTAACTGAGTTAATGGAACTTGCTTGGTTCGCTAGCTACCTGGTTTACATCATTAAGTGACATGCGCCTATTATCGGACAGTGAACCGTCTGCTGCTTAATTTCTCCCCTTTCTTGCAGCTAAGTAAACAGTCACTTTGACAGGCAATGTTTACGCATACGTTCATATGTTAGGGCACATTTTATGTTTGATGCATCACCGTATTTCCTATCAAATTTGTGGATTTAGCTAATCGTGGCCGGGCTTCGTGCAGGGGCCAATAATAGAAGCAGGATTCCCCTCTCATCAGTAATCGTCCAGTAACGTTATGCAAATAATGGTAATCTACTGACATAACATTTTGGAAGAGAACGAACCATGCGGTGTTTCTGTAGCTGTTTTGATGTTGTCAATTGGTTTATTCTGTTTTCCTGACTTAAGAGTCACCGCTCAAAGAAATGCTGAAATCTCCCCATTTAGTTAGCTGACGTTAGCTCGGCAGGCTAATGTAAATGCTAGCCAGATGTAGCAATGAAACCTAAGCTGACCTGCAGCGAAGCAACGCCGCTTTCATGCATCTTTAAAGCGGGGGCAGTGTCAGATAACGTCCGTTAGCCTTTTAGCCGTCTGCCCCCTGCTCAGTAGTTGTTAGCATGCTAGCCGCTCGTTAACGTCACACATGCTAGTTGCGGCTAACGCAGTGCTAACTTAAAGCTTCACCCTGAAACAGGTGCAGCCTTTTCATAACCAGTGGTGAAGAGTACATTTTGTCAATTACTGGACTTGAGTACAGGTCTGATGTACTTGTATTTTCAGTATTTTATGCTACTTTATACTTCTGCTCCGCTACACTTCAGAGGTATGGGAGGCAAGGCAAACCCAGACCCTCAGGGCCCCCCAAACCCCCGTTTACGCCACACCATTAATCGTTTGATTCATTGGAAATTAGTTAGAAACCTCCACTGAAGTAGAAACCAGCTGTGAAAAGTCCTCCATTTGGTAATCCGGTCTTTTAGTGGACTGAAAACTGGTTAAAATCTAGTTGTAGGTTCCATATGTGTTTAGTTTGTATGGTTTTTATTAGCTGTAAAGTATGAGCTTTATCCGATTGTTCCAGGTTTTTGTTTGCTTTTCAAGTGATTAACTCACATAAACCATAGGACAGGACATTTTATCACAGGAGTACTGCATTGTATCACAGGAGTACTGCATTATATCACAGGAGTACTGCATTACATTGTCAGTAGACCTGCTGTATTGACGTGAAACTCTTTCTCAAGTAGTTTATTTCTACACCAGTAGGGCTTGTTGGTTGTGAATGGGTCACTGTAGGTTCTGGCTAATTGTGATGGAATATTTACAAGCCATATAATAAATAAATAAATTAACAGGGTATCTGCAGGTAAATGCAGGACATTTACTTGTGATGCAGCATTTTTACAGTGTGGTATTAGTACTTCTTTGATCACTGTCCATAGTGTCTGAGTCATGAGCAGTATTGGACTCGAGGTTTGACTTCAGTCCTAAACATGATGCTGACACTGTAAACAGCTCCAGCAGGCTGTACATGTATGTTCAGCTTACATGTGAAATCGTGTGGTCACTGTAAGCTCGGTTATATGTGTCACATACGCTGCAGGTCTGGAGCAAAGCTCGAACAAACGTTTAGTGTCTTTAATACTCAGTTTTATCAAGACTGTCTTTTTAAAAAATGTCTTTGCAGAAGCCTTTATTGCTCTAAATGAGTTTCTATTTCATCGCCGCACAAATGTTGAAAACTTTAAATGTAAATTACAATCAAGACTCATAAGAAAAATTAAATAGAATAGACAAGGACAATAAAAAGGTAAATAAAAAAATACTTTAAATTACTGCTGCAGCTAACGATCGGTTTTATTACTGATTATTCTGCAAACGTTTTTCTTGATAAATCGAATACTTGTTTTCTCCATTAAAAATCAGTAATGAGAAATTGCCACAGTTTCCCAGGCAACTTCTTCAAATGTCTTGTTTTGCAAAACTCTGATATTCAGTTTACAGTGTACAGCAAAGAAAAGCATTAAGTCAGCACATGTCAGAACCAGGATTTGCAGCTGTTAGTGTCAACGCACGGAATGAACTGTTACCTGGTGGTCCAAGTAACTGGATCCATACCCAGTGTCCCTCAGCGTGTCTGGTTACCACGGGCTCTCCAGGTGTGGTCTCCATGGAGACAAGTACAGGGGGAGATGAAGGTTTGGTTCATTTTAAGTTGGAGGTAGTTTTACCTGGCTTTGAGTATGATGCTGTCGCATGTTGTCAGTTTTCCTACATGTGGAGAAAAAAATCTCGAAGTGGCATGTGAACGGTGTTTATGACTCCGGTATCAAACCAGCGACACCAGCTCTGCTGTCAGGGGCTTGATATTTTAATTTCTTGGTTTTCTGCTTAGCAGCTACTTAACAGTTTCCGTTCAATCTGCTAACTGACCTAATGGTGAAATTATGGTGAAATATTGAGCAATTAGGCCCTCAAATGTCAGATTGTCCTTGAATGCACCACCAGGCCCTGCTGTCAGCTGCTCCCACACAACAGTGGAGCCTCCACCAAAACATACTGGTTGATCCAGAGAAAACCAGGAGTCAGCTGTTTTGGTAGTGGAGTGAAAATACCAGAGTTTGATGCTTTTCTTCAGCATATTTACACAGTACATTGAATTTCTGTTGGTGGTGTTCAAATGAATGAGCAATTTGTATTAGGGGTGCAAATAATGATTTTATTAGCGAAACATTTGCCTCTCATCACTTTGATTAATCTTTTTTTTTCTATAAAATGTCTGAAAAGGGGGAACAAAGTGACATCTGTAAATGTTTTGTTTGTCTAAACCAAACCAGAGATTCAGTTTAATGACTTTAAAACAGAAAAGACAAAAACACATCACCTTGGAAATGTTTACAGGCATTTTTCAGCATTTTCTGAAATGATTAATCGATAAACCATAAGCACAACCAGCTGATTAATGGATCATTAGTTGCAGGCCTAAACTGGAATCAGTACAAACTGTGATGGGTTAATCACCCAAACCAGCTTAGTATCTTTATAATCCTTGCATTTTATTGGTTGAAACCATCTTAGGTCTGTCTGTAGACACTTATTAACAGAAGCTGGGAGTTGATGATCCTGCCATAAAACCACATGGACCTTGTTCTTCACTGGAAGGTTTTCTGAGCCACACCGCTTTCATTTGCCTTCAGGAGTAAGTCGCTGAACTCGGCTTCAGTAAATATGCTCAGTGGGGGACACACCCACTTAATACACACTCCTGCAGAAACACACCGGGCTGAGCAGGTGGGATCCTCCCTGCTGAGCTGACACACACAGAGAAACAAAGAGTCACAAGTTATTTTAAGAACATGATGGAGGGATGGAGCTCTGGTATGAAAATAGGCTCGATACTTAATTGTGTGTGGCCGACCCAGAAAGTCAAACCAGTCCAGTGTGGCTTCACAGACCTGCTGGAGGTGGAGGAAGGAGGAGGGCCGTGCTGGGTGTAGAACCTCCATACTCACGAGCACAGACTAGGAAATAACTTTAAATGCAGCTCTGTGGCTCTGTCTCCTAGATTTTGTCCATTCATTCACTATTTCATGCATATAATGGTTTCTTTTGGGTCCTTTGTTATGAAAGAACCCAACGATCCTGCACACTGTCACTTATAGTTTACACAGTGACCTGTGGGCACACCCCCTCCCCACCAACACTATCAGACGCCACGGCCAGAGTTCAGCTTCACCCATTATTGATTGATCTGCCAATCTTTTTTTGATGACTTGTTTCATCTATAAAATGTCAGTGTGAGATGCAGCTCCCACAGCCCGAGGACACGTCTCCAGATATCGACCAACTGTCAAAACCCACAGACGTTTAATTACTATAGAGACAGAACAGCAGCAAGTGGAGCAGCTGGATTAATGAACTGTTTCATAAATGAACACAGGTTGTTTCTGTTTGTGATTTCATCAGATTCCAGATTTTTCTATAGTTCAGGTTTTTTTTAGGCTACATGTTTCCAAAACAGGGCCCATACAGTCACCAGCCACTTTATTAGGTACACCTGTACAGCTGTATGCACTTCAGTGCAACACGTCGGCCTTAACATCTGTGTTTATGAAGCTCAGCATGTTTCAGTTTTTGGTGAAATGATATGTTTATTATCGAGGTCACAGTTAAAGGTGGTGTTGTACTGGACTACCTTATATTCAGAGGTGTTCCTAATATTCTGGCCATTTCATGTATGTAACCGGGAAGGACAAAATATATAGACACCTCTGAATATAAGGTAGTCCAGTACAACACCACCTTTAACTGTGACCTCGATAATAAACATAGAATTGAATGTATACATTTCACCAAAAACTGAAACCTTGAGCTTCAAAAAGACAGATGTTAAGGCCGACAGTGAAGTGTGTACAGTTAACTGGCAGGTGATTGTATGTGTGTACTCTGTATATATGTGTTGCTCATAATTCTTATTGAAACTGATTTTTTTTTTTTTTAACTTTTAGTGCAATATGTTTAACAGGTTTGTTTTTCAGTTGTAGCTCTCTGTTCACCAGTAAACCAACTTACTTAACCTTTATTTTACAAAGAAGTCAAGTTGAGCTGGCATCCACCAGAGCAGCTGTTTGTGTTAACGTCATTAAACACTGACGTCTGTAAGAACTTTACAGTTTGAGTACTAGTTATCAATAGTTAATTATGGCACTGGCAATATATTGAAACAAAAGAGAGTAAAAACACTTGCTCTTCCTGTGTGTGTGTGTGTGTCTCTCTCTCTCTCTCTCACAGGTGAAGGACTGCCTGTCGGCCTGTTTGCCACTTGTTCACCTGTCGACCATCCCGGTTCTCACCCACTGTTTGTCTGACGAATGCGTGAGTGACTGCGATCGTCCTCCCGGCCTCTCTGTCCACAGCTGCGTTATGGTACGACAAACAAGCGCACACCTTCAGAATAAGACTGAAGTGAAGCGCTGTTAGTTTCCATCCACCAGGCTTTCACTGACTGCTGCTGCTATGAAAACATCAATGGATGTGACGTTGTTACACACACTGTTCGACCGTACTGTCAAAGAACACCCAGCATTAAAGAGCAACTGAGGCACAGTGTAGGGCGGTCTTTGGAGTGTTGTGTTCACCTGCCTTCATAACAGTTGAACGGTGCGGTAAAGCTGTGGAGAACGGATGTCCACATTTATTGCAGTCAAAAGTCGGCTGGTTTAACTGGGTTCTGTTTGGGCTCCTGGAGACCCGGGGGCCTCTTTAACAGATCAGAAAACATTTAACATGGTTTTACTTGGTATGTTTCCATTTATTTATTAGTCTTTGTGTGTCAGATACATGGTATTAACTATAGTATTGATCAGACTCTGAGAGCTTTGGTCCAAGGTGGTTGATATGTAGTAAAGCAGGGGAAACAGACGTGTGTGATGTGTGCAGTGGCCTCTACTCTCCAGATGCTCCACTAGTCATCTCTGTTATTAGTCTGTCGAGCAGTTTATAGAAAAACTAGGGTGTCCGTATTTTCACAATGAGAACATGTCACAGTGTGTTTCAGAACAAAAGTGGAGCTCTGTGGCGCAGAGACCAGACAGACCAGTCCTTGGAGACACAAACACTTCATTGTTGCTCTGGTCTTTTCATGCGATTTGTCGACAATAACAAAAGACTAAAATGATTGCCGTTCGTACTCTGCGAGAGGTAGACTGTTCGGTGGTTGTACACACCACTACACCGCTGATATATCTGAAACAAAGGTGGAGTTCCTTACACCTCAAAACAAGACTGCAGGCAGCTTTCAGGCTTGCATGACTCTGTCTGGAACATTTTAAAGTGGAATAATCTTAACAGCTGTGTGTGTTTTCTGCAGACTGTATGATGTCTGAGAGCAGCTGCTATGGCCTGCAGCAGCAGTCAGAGCAATGCCGAAACTCTGGAGGGGTTCCATGAGGTGAACTTAGCCTCACCCACCACACCTGACCTTCAGGTAGGTCAAAGGTCAAACCGCATGCAGGCGGGCTTCCATTTTGCAGCGTATTGTAGTGTGTTTGCAGACTATCACTGAGTGAGGTTGGTGGGTTTAGCCCAGGTGTTTTGGCAGTATGAAACTGGCTCACTTTTAAATTCACACTGAGCTGGTCTAAATAAAAACAGACAAGAGGCTCTTCGTGCATGAAAGCCAGAGATCAGCTTTGGATTACAAACACATTGCTCCAAACAGGATTTAAATCACAGAAGGAGCAGCTAGTTCACAGGAAACCAGGCGGTTACTGGGGCTGAAACGTGACTCACATATGGACCAGAGCAGATACTGTCACCCCACCTCCTCTGGGAAGTGACTTCTAGTCTGCGTGGGGCTTTAACCTTACATTTAATATGTAGGCGTTGTTCCTAGCATGTCTATACTAGATATGTGATTACATTACATTATGTGCATTTGACAAGACAGTATCTTTTTTTCTTTTGCTGCCACAACAACTAGGTTTGCCCTACTCCACTCCTGGTGCTGATGATGGTGCTTGTAGTTAGGACAACTGTCCCATTGTTGATACGTGTGCTCAGGTTGGAGGGTTTAGTTGCAGCCAGTTTCATATGTCTTTCACTTTAATATCTAGAAGTATGTTAAAGGATTTGTCTGGGATGCTGCCGAGGTATCACATGACCAAAGAGCCTCTATAAAAAATGTCATTGTTTCTTTAGAGATCTCTTGTCAATGTGGGGGAAAGAAAAATCAGTCAAAGCCCAGAAAATATGGACATGATCAGCCATTTTTTAAACATCCTTGTCCCTGCTAATCCTATAAGTCTCTGATGAGCCTTCAGTTGTCTTTCCCTGATGGCCGTAACTTTCAGCAGCTTTAGCAGCCCCCTGTGTGTCGTCCCGCAGAACCAAGCGGAGCAGCGCCCGCCCGCCGGTCACAGCACCCCGCCCACCTCTCTGTACCGCACCCACTCTCTGGGAGCGCCCTCTACTGGCCTCCCCACCTCCCTGCGGGCCGACCAGCTCCCCACACAGCCGGTGTACTCAGCACCGCGGCACAGCCACAATGGAAGGTAAAGGACCCTGATCCAAATGCCCGACCTTTGACCTGAGCCCCTGCAGACTTTGATAATGTGTTTTCCAAGTGGCTCTTAACAGTAATGACATTTGTTACTTAAATGTGCAGACGCTGCTGTTTTCTTTAAATTCTGTTTATTAGCAACACTAGTGCCGCAGAGGCGACAATTTTTATCTGTTGGATGGATTCCTATGGAGTCTGGTACAGATCCAAATGTCCTTGGATCCAAATAATAATATCCAACCCCTGATTTGTTGTTCTTCCACTGCCAACAACACGGGCCTCCCTCTCCTTATTTTGTGTGCTGATGTGAAAACACTGGCTGTCAGTGACATGTTTGTAGACATTTTTTTCTCACCAGTAATCCTGTTGTTTCCATGGTACTGGTGCACAGTGTGCCAGGCATGGAGACGGAGTCTGCCGAGGGCAACTTCCTCTCTGGAGAGGACGGCGAGGAGTCCTGCGCTCTGAGCGAGAGCCTGTCGCGGCTTCGCAGCCCGTCAGTGATGGAGGTCCGAGAAAAGGGATACGAGAGGCTGAAGGAGGAGCTGGCCAAGGCCCAGAGAGCAACACTAGTACACACACACACACACACAGACACACACACACACGTCGCTCTCTGACATAAAGCGTGCCCTGAAGCCCTCACCACCACAGCTAAGTACCTAAGCCCTATCCCAGCTTAAACCTTAGTCTACCTTTAACCCCAAGACCAAGTCTTAAAAGTCAGACAGCCCTTAAAAGGCCCAGGTGCCCTCACAGTGCCAGTATGTCCATATAACTGTGGTACTGAACCAAAATGTCCACACGACCATAGAAATACTTGCTAATTCTGTCTCAGGTCTTAACTTGGAAACGCTAGAATGAAACCTTCGGTGTGAGTCAGACTTCACTGAATCTCTCATTACAGACTGACATGTCATTTTCCATATTTAATTTAAACGTATTTTAAATTATTTTTGACATATTTATCATTTCAAGCCCCTTTCAGACATGCAGCCTCTTTAATCTGTCTCGCTTTGCGGTGCAGCACTGTAGTGCAGTTCGATAGCAGCAGTCTCTGAAATGATCACACAGTTGAATCAACACCTCTGTGAAACAGTTTGAACACAGCTTGAACATGATCTCCCTCATGAAGGAGGATTTATTGCAGGGCTGCATTAGTGTTAGCTAGGGGTACCTAATAAAGTGCCAACCGAGCGTATGATGTTATGTGTCCATGTCTGAAAAGGGCTCAGGATGGAGATGATGATTTAGTCCTCAAACACATTTCACTGATTTTCATTTCTTCATGTTTGTTTTTGTTGTTGCCGTGCTATGATTTGACTTTCATGTGTTCATTTGGCGGCTGTTTTTCTGTTTGTGTGTGTGTGTGTGTGTGTGTGGAAGGAGCTGCTGTTGAAGGATGAGGAGTGTGAGAGGTTATCTAAGATCAGAGACCAGCTCGGCCTGGAGCTGGAGGAGCTCACCGCCAGTCTCTTTCAGGTCGGTCCACCTCTCTTCCCCCTGTCCGTCTCTGCTTCCTGTTTCCTGTTCCCTTTCTCCTGAGGCAGTGGCCAGACAGAAAAAATGACATTGATTGACATGGGACGTGTTTCTCCCTGTTCTTTGGCAGCAGAAATGTGACAGCCATGTAAAGTCTTTTAAAGACTTTTAACCTTTTCGTTTTCCACGCTGAACTGTACTGTAGGACCAACGATGGCATCGAAACAATCTCATGCACACACAACTGATGGGAGACAAATGGAAGCGTAGCGACTGTGAGCACACCTGCCTGCCTCACATCGGTCTGGTCAGCCAACAAAAACCAACAAGCAGTAGCTGGCTGTTCGCCAAAAGAAAAATGTGTCTCATGGAGACAACAACTTCCCGTTTCATTGTGCAGTGCAGCTCTGCAGCCAGTTGTCAGGTTCTTTTACTTGTGTCCACGGGCCTTGTTTGTCCTGCGTTAATCACGCCACACTGCAACCACCAGTCTTTCTGTTGCGGCCTCACAGCTGGGATAATGTGCTGACTTGTGTGGTTATGGTCCTGCTTGATGGCATGGCCGACTGCAGCCGGTTAGGGCCCCTGTGACCTGTGGACACTCAAACAACCTATCATCCAGCTGACAGCTCAGCGTGTGTGTGTGCTGGTGTCCGTGGAGGCAGCTCTGCCCCTCAGTGTTTCTTTGTTCAATTGTTGAACTGAATCTCTGTGGGTTGGAGTTTAGTTTTTAATGATTTCACCAGAGCTTTTTATTCTTCACATTGTTTTTCCTTGTCAAAGCTGGGTGTAAAGTGATTCTTTTTATTTATCATTTAACTTCATAGACAGAAAACCCTAAACCAGATCAAGCCCCCTCCTGCCTGTAAACCAGCCTCAGTCCACCTGCACACACAGGTACTGTGCAGGTGGACTGTTTCAGCTGCTGCAGTTCCTCTGTGGATTCAGGCTGAGTCGGTGTCTGTATGTGATCCCAGCCTGACTCCATGAGGTGGAGCTCAGGGCTCTTTTTGGGGGCAGACCCTCTGCTGCAGAACCCCTTGTTCTTCAGGTCTCTAAACTGAGTTCATCTGTTTGAGCTCAGTGTGAGGCTGCAGCATGAGTTGAGACTGGCCTCTCTGACCGTACTGATGGAGAAGAATTGAAACATCTAAAGTGCCTGAAATGTTTGCACGAGTACTGTGTGGCTTTGACTGGTTGAAGTCTCCAGTGTTATTCTTCTGGTAGAGGTGAGGGATGGCACAGTGTGGTTTCAGCTGGACTTTTTCTTGTTATCTCAGTACATTCACACCAGTTTCAGCAGCTGCATTTGGATTCAGGTTCCAGACGAGTTAGGTCACATCACAAACTCTAGTCCTACTCTCAGAGGCGCTGATCGAACTCATCTCCAGTCGGCAAAACAGTCTGTCACAAGAGCACCCAACGTTTTTTGAGTTGCCCGGCAAATTTCTTGCTCTGCTGTTGGAGTTCAGGGAGAGGAGCTAATTTGTTTGGCCGGCTTCAACACCTGTCTTTTCACATTCCTCGTTCTCACCTCACGCTTCCTGTTTCTCCTAGGAGGTGCTGGGATTCTGTGTGTGTGTGTGTGTGTGTGTGTGTGTGTGTGCGTACTTTCTTTAGCCTGTATACAGAAAAAGCAGTGTCACTGGGAGTCTTTACTTTCTGTTACTCTTGTTCTTTTATGTGCTGCTGTAGATGCTGCCTCACTCTTAAAATGAAAACTAAATCTCAACACAAACCTTACGAGTGAGGAAAATTGAAAAGAATATTAAGTATTGTATGGATATGTGTGTTTTCCAGGAGGCCCACAAAATGGTCCAAGAAGCCAATGTCAAACAGGCAAATGCTGAAAAACAACTGAAGGAAGCTCTGGGCAAGGTAATAACACTGAGTACTCGCACAGTGTTCATGTTACTGAACATAAACGGTAGCTGTAGTTATTGTTTAGGCCACCTGACTGACCTCTGGGCGTTTACCTACCTTCTAAACAACAGTTTGTTCGTATCGGTATCAGAGTTGGTTGCTCAAAGTCACATCACGAGCATGATTCCTCATAGTGATCCTGAAATGGCCCCAGAGCTCACAGTCGCCGCTCCCTAATTTAAGCTAGTTGATAAAATGCTTTTACTTGTAGAAACCAGAAAGTGTCACTCAGTGAAGTTTGGTTTAATGCTCTGCACCGTGGTTCTGTATGTCTCCTGCTCTTCAGATCGACGTCCTCCAGGCGGAGGTCCAGGCCCTGAAGACGCTGGTGCTCTCCTCCCCCACCTCCCCTGTGGGTGAACTCCCCTCTGCAGGAGGCGTGAAGACCCCCTTCAGGAAGGGCCACAGCAGAAACAAGAGCACCTCCTCTGCCATCTTGGGGACGCAGCCCGACCTGTCGGCCACGGAGCCCATCATCCGCGAGTGTAGAGAGGTAGGAGCACTGGCATGTATCTCTGTAGATGATGAGTTGATGCCAGAGAGGAACAGCTGGGAATATTCTGCAGGCTGGATAAAGTGCTGGTGACACGGCTCTGACAGGAGCACTGGCTGACTCATTCTAAATCGAAGAAGATGGGGGGGACGGTCTTAAATTTCATTTGCAGAGGTGTTAAATATTTTGACCTTTTAATTAATTTTTTAAAAATGTAATTTATCCAGTTATGTCCATATTCTGATTTTTATCCAGAGCCAGGTTGCATTAAATGACTAAAGACCTGAATTAGGAATACAATGATTATTGAATTGGTCAACAGAAAAAAATAATGAACAATCATTTCAGTAATTTTCAAACAAGACTAGTGAAAAAATTGCAAACTTTTTTACAACAGTTCCTCAGACGTGAGGATATTCTGCTTTTTCCAGTCATGTATCACAGTAAAGTGAATATCTGTGGGGTTGGAGCTGTTGGTGGACCGAGGGGCTTTTTTTTTTGTTTCGGTTTTGTCATTTCATCAAAAAAAAAGCCAGGCAGATTAATCGATAATGAGAATAATTGTACATTATTGGTATTATTGGGTAATAACAAATGTAAATAAACTGACCATTTCACATCACACTTGGTAAAGAATTCTTGTTCCTATTGGTTTTTATACATCTGTCATTGGTTGGTATGACGGTGACACGGGTATTAAATTGGCTTCTAGGTGGGATTGAAATGTCTCATCTTTGCAGAAACCCCCTGTATATGGTGTTAACTGGTTTTGTTGGACACGCAGGTGGACAGTCAGCTGTTCAGTGAGTTCAAGGCATGGAAGGAGGAGCCGACGCTCGACCGGAGTTGCTGCTTCCTGGAGAGAGTTTACCATGAGGACATCTACCCCTGCCTGACCTTCAGCAAGAGCGAGGTACAGAGATGCAGACAAGGTGCTGCTGCTGTCCCATACCGCCGTCCACTGTCACTCAGTGCTCTCTCCTGTCCCTCAGCTGGGTTCGGCCATCTTGGAAGCCGTGGAGCAGAACACACTTAGTGTGGAGCCGGTCGGTTTCCAGCCGCTGCCTGTGGTCAAAGCCTCGGCGGTGGAGTGCGGAGGACCAAAGTGAGACTCCACACACACACACACACACACACACACACACACACACAGACTTTTTCTCCTCTTCATCAAGCTTACATTCCTTCATCACCATCTCTCCATCTTCCCTCAATTTCCTCCTCTAGTGGACGAAGCACTGAGCTCATCACGTAAGTCTGTCTATCGCTTTCTGTCCCATCAGCATCTCCTAATCTCTTCTGAGTTGCTTCTCTACCCTGCCTGGTGCTTCCAAACACCTCTGCTAAATCACAACATTCCTACTTTCAGTCCTTCCTTCCTCCTGTCCAGGGTTATCAGAGAGATCCCAATGAGACAGACACAGTCATCCCTTTCTCCTTCCTTTCTTTTCACCCCTCCTTGCTTCCTCCTCCAAGCCTTAGTATTAGTCCGGTATAGTTTTTATTAGATAGTTGTGGCAGCTTTTGGACAATTTCACTTTTCTTCCCGTTGAAACAAAATAAACGTGTGTCTGTATTTGACAGAAAATGTGCCCTCAGCGGTCAGACCAAAAGCTGTAAGCACAGAATCAAGTTTGGAGATTCATCCAGCTACTACTACGTGTCTCCTTACTGTAGATACAGAGTGAGTATGAGCACACACACACAAACACAACAGTGTTTGCTCACACACTGAGACGTCTGCAGGACAGAAGCAACAAGCAATAGAATAAACAGTGTTTGTCTCCGTCTTTTCCCAGATCACAGCAGTGTGTAACTTCTTCACCTACATTCGCTACATCCACCAAGGGCTGGTCAAGCAGCAGGATGGTGAGAGACACATTAACAATTTAACACCAAAGAGGAAAGTCAGACTGACCGATGCCAGTCTCCTGTTGTAAATATCACTTAGCTCCTCTGCTTTTATTGGTTCAGTTAACATCGGTGTAAGTGTGCACGTTTACAGCCATTAGATTCAAAGAAACAATTCGTTGAAACTGGTTGTATTAAGTAGCATTTTATGTGTAAGTACAGTAGCTGAGTAAATGTACTTATGTTCCAAAGCTGAGGACAGTGTGATCATTGTGTGACCTGTTTTCTCAGCGGAGCAGATGTTCTGGGAGGTGATGCAGCTCCGCAGGGAAATGTCCCTCGCCAAACTTGGCTACTACAAAGACCAGCTGTGAAGGACGGACAGACGGCCTCTCCCTCCAATCACAGTAGACTCTGTCCTGGTCCCGGTTCTCCTCCTCTCAGCCTGTCATTTCAGGAACCCCCCACCTTACGTTTTCCCTTCATGTGAGTGTGAGAGAATAGCTGTGATTGTTTTCAATCATCACAAAAAAGACTGAGCGACTAGTGATGTCTGGTGTCGTTACTGGTCTGGAGCGTTACTGGGTTTCTGGTGAGTCTGAATCCAACATATATTTCCTGTATGGACATGTAGCACTGATACATAGATGACTGGCATGAAAGAAGCAACTATTGAAACATGTTGGTATGTAAACCCCTCTGAGGAGCTTTGCCCTCTCCCTCCCAAAACGGTGTAACAGGCTGCAAAGCCTCAGTCGGGTATCACCAATATTCTGTATGGAGGAAACAAATCAAATTTAAAAAGAAGTAGTCTTTAGTCTCATGACTTTTACCACAAATTTAAGTTTCAAAACGGACTTGATTCTCAAAATATTCACTTGTATAAAAATTACAAATGGGTTCAAACACATTGACTTGGTCTTTATTTGTGAAAAACCAAAATGGATTTATGATCAAAATACTTTAGAAAATAGTTTTCCTCACTTTATCTCAAAATTCTGACTCTGACCTTTTTTCTTGAAACCATCTTCTCAAAATATTTACTCATCAGATCAGACTTTTTTTTTTCTCAATTACAACTGTACCCTGGAAGTATTTTGCTGAGGATATGACAGTTTTCAGAATAGACCTTTTTTACATGTCAGTTCTTTCCCTGAACTAGAACTAGTCTCTAACCGTGGCCCAGTTTCTCTGCCTGAACTGAAACCTCCAGTGCTCCTCCAACTCAGTGACAGAAAGGTATCGATTATGTGCAGTCAAGTTTCAAAGCTAATAGTAGGTTGTGCTAAATCAGAACAATTGTTTAAAATGATCAGGAAACTGTGTATGAACTTGTTTAATTTATGTGGAAACAAATTAACGAGGTCTGGAAAACTCTTCCACGATTTAATGAAGTATAGTTGGAAGCAAAGATAATCAGATGATCATGAGTACAAACACTACACCTCCATCTAGTCTGAATGGAGCATAAACATGTCTTTTCAATACTATTTTTTTGAGTTTATCAAGTTCTTTTGTTGGTGAAAATTCAGGAGAGTTGTGTTAAAGGAAGAGCTGAACACTACATGATGTTTGACATATTATGGGGAATTTTCCTTTAACAGCTTGTGGTATTTGTTTTCCATTGTATTTAATCAATCAGGAACCTTGTAGATAAAGTGTGTGTGTGTGTGTGTGTGAGTGCTGAGTGTGTGTGCCTGGTGTTCTGTATACTTTAATTTAAACCTTTGCATCTCTCTCTCCTGCTCAAAGTCAGTGTCACTCTCCTGGTTTGGTTTAGTGCCTTTTCTCTCAGACACTCTGAAATAAAAACAGTAATACCTCTGGAACATGGCCGCTCTCCGTAGTCTGTTTCCCATCACGCACACTGAAATGAGATGAGGTCAAATGCACAACAGCCAGGTGAGAGAGACAGGTGTGAGCACTCAACATTTCTCTTGGGTTAATTAGCATTAGGCTTAATCAGTATTTGTTGACCCACCAAGTGTTTCTCAGACAATGCTTCAACCCTGGTTTAAAGTTCTGCTTCTCCTTTTGTGGTCATTTTGTCTTTGATTTGATTTGATTTATTCTTTCAAGCATGTAAAACAGTTGAAATGACAACACACATAATTTTACACATAATCCAATATCAATTTGCTTATACCTAGTACATGCTTGAATGGAGTAGGAAGAAGTCAGACTTATCCAGTCCTACCCCATGACATCATCTTACCATCATTGGTTTGCAAGCTGTAAATGATTCACTTCTACGCACACAAGTATTATACAAACAAACAAAAAAAAAGACGACAGTGTTAACATTCTTACATCACACAAGTATTATACTAAAGAATTATTACAGAGTGTTAACATTCATACACCACACCCACAATGTTCCACCTAATTAATCATTGAGCTTATTCTTGCATATATCTTGATTGACACATACCTTTATATTTATGTTTAAACT